CACACATATTCCAGACCCCCACATGAAATTCACCTCATTTGCTCAAGGTTTGATATGTGTTTTAAGCCTTGCTGTGCAGCAGTCTGCAGAATTCTGTGCAGAATTGCCTGCAATCAGGTTTCAATTGTAATCACCCACTTCTCTTTGAGCAAATGAGCTGATTTTTATAGGGGACTCTCAACACACATATTCCAGACCCCCACATGAAATTCACCTCATTTGCTCAAGGTTTGATATGTGTTTTAAGCCTTGCTGTGCAGCAGTCTGCAGAATTCTGTGCAGAATTGCCTGCAATCAGGTTTCAATTGTAATCACCCACTTCTATTTGAGCAAATGAGCTGATTTTTATAGGGGACTCTCACCACACATATTCCAGACCCCCACATGAAATTCATTTCATTTGCCTAAGGTTTGATATGTGTTTTAAGCCTTGCTGTGCAGCAGTCTGCAGAATTCTGTGCAGAATTGCCTGGAATCAGGTTTCAATAGTAATCACCCACTTCTCCTTGAGCAAATGAGCTGATTTTTAAAGGGGACTCTCAACACACATATTCCAGACCCCCACATGAAATTCACCTCATTTGCTCAAGGTTTGATATGTGTTTTAAGCCTTGCTGTGCAGCAGTCTGCAGAATTCTGTGCAGAATTGCCTGGAATCAGGTTTCAATAGTAATCACCCACTTCTCCTTGAGCAAATGAGCTGATTTTTATAGGGGACTCTCACCACACGTATTCCAGACCCCCACATGAAATTCACCTCATTTGCCCAAGGTTTGATATGTGTTTTAAGCCTTGCTGTGCAGCAGTCTGCAGAATTCTGTGCAGAATTGCCTGGAATCAGGTTTCAATAGTAATCACCCACTTCTCCTTGAGCAAATGAGCTGATTTTTATAGGGGACTCTCACCACACATATTCCAGACCCCCACATGAAATTCATCTCATTTGCCAAAGGTTTGATATGTGTTTTAAGCCTTGCTGTGCAGCAGTCTGCAGAATTCTGTGCAGAATTGCCTGGAATCAGGTTTCAATAGTAATCACCCACTTCGCCTTGAGCAAATGAGCTGATTTTTATAGGGGACTCTCACCACACATATTCCAGACTTCCACATGAAATTCACCTCATTTGCCCAAGGTTTGATATGTGTTTTAAGCCTTGCTGTGCAGCAGTCTGCAGAATTCTGTGCAGAATTGCCTGCAATCAGGTTTCAATTGTAATCACCCACTTCTATTTGAGCAAATGAGCTGATTTTTATAGGGGACTCTCACTACACATATTCCAGACCCCCACATGAAATTCATCTCATTTGCTCAAGGTTTAATATGTGTTTTAAGCCTTGCTGTGCAGCAGTCTGCAGAATTCTGTGCAGAATTGCCTGCAATCAGGTTTCAATTGTAGTCACCCACTTCTATTTGAGCAAATGAGCTGATTTTTATAGGGGACTCTCACCACACATATTCCAGACCCCCACATGAAATTCATCTCATTTGCCCAAGGTTTGATATGTGTTTTAAGCCTTGCTGTGCAGCAGTCTGCAGAATTCTGTGCAGAATTGCCTGGAATCAGGTTTCAATAGTAATCACCCACTTCTCCTTGCGCAAATGAGCTGATTTTTATAGGGGACTCTCACCACACATATTCCAGACCCCCACATGAAATTCATCTCATTTGCCCAAGGTTTGATATGTGTTTTAAGCCTTGCTGTGCAGCAGTCTGCAGAATTCTGTGCAGGGTTGCCTGGAATCAGGTTTCAATTGTAATCACCCACGTCTCCTTGAGAAAATGAGCTGATTTTTATAGGGGACTCTCACCACACATATTCCAGACCCCCACATGAAATTCACCTCATTTGCTCAAGGTTTGATATGTGTTTTAAGCCTTGCTGTGCAGCAGTCTGCAGAATTCTGTGCAGAATTGCCTGCAATCAGGTTTCAATTGTAATCACCCACTTCTCTTTGAGCAAATGAGCTGATTTTTATAGGGGACTCTCACCACACATATTCCAGACCCCCACATGAAATTCACTTCATTTGCCAAAGGTTTGATATGTGTTTTAAGCCTTGCTGTGCAGCAGTCTGCAGAATTCTGTGCAGAATTGCCTAGAATCAGGTTTCAATAGTAATCACCCACTTCTCCTTGAGCAAATGAGCTGATTTTTATAGGGGACTCTCACCACACATATTCCAGACCCCCACATGAAATTCACCTCATTTGCTCAAGGTTTGATATGTGTTTTAAGCCTTGCTGTGCAGCAGTCTGCAGAATTCTGTGCAGAATTGCCTGCAATCAGGTTTCAATTGTAATCACCCACTTCTATTTGAGCAAATGAGCTGATTTTTATAGGGGACTCTCACCACACATATTCCAGACCCCCACATGAAATTCATTTCATTTGCCCAAGGTTTGATATGTGTTTTAAGCCTTGCTGTGCAGCAGTCTGCAGAATTCTGTGCAGAATTGCCTGGAATCAGGTTTCAATAGTAATCACCCACTTCTCCTTGAGCAAATGAGCTGATTTTTAAAGGGGACTCTCAACACACATATTCCAGACCCCCACATGAAATTCACCTCATTTGCTCAAGGTTTGATATGTGTTTTAAGCCTTGCTGTGCAGCAGTCTGCAGAATTCTGTGCAGAATTGCCTGGAATCAGGTTTCAATAGTAATCACCCACTTCTCCTTGAGCAAATGAGCTGATTTTTATAGGGGACTCTCACCACACGTATTCCAGACCCCCACATGAAATTCACCTCATTTGCCCAAGGTTTGATATGTGTTTTAAGCCTTGCTGTGCAGCAGTCTGCAGAATTCTGTGCAGAATTGCCTGGAATCAGGTTTCAATAGTAATCACCCACTTCTCCTTGAGCAAATGAGCTGATTTTTATAGGGGACTCTCACCACACATATTCCAGACCCCCACATGAAATTCATCTCATTTGCCTAAGGTTTGATATGCGTTTTAAGCCTTGCTGTGCAGCAGTCTGCAGAATTCTGTGCAGAATTGCCTGCAATCAGGTTTCAATTGTAATCACCCACTTCTCTTTGAGCAAATGAGCTGATTTTTATAGGGGACTCTCACCACACATATTCCAGACCCCCACCTGAAATTCTTATTTTTTCGTAGACGTGTAGTATGTTTTTCACTCTCTCCTCTGCAGGCGGGAGCAGAGCACTTTGGTGAAATGTACAACATTTGTTTTGTACTCCAATGCCACTGTTATACGGGTGCTAATGATAGGGCACTCATCTCACACTTATAGGATTACCCGTTATAGTATTGGGTGTGCTAATCATGCAAAGTTCATGCTTGTGTTTGAATTATGGGTTACAAAAACTAGTACTATACGTGCTACACAAGTACCCCTATAGCGGTACTCTCGGATGTAGGGTGTCATTCGATTTCTGACACGTGTGACAGGTCGCAGAGACAGCTCTATTTCCAGGTTGCGGAGGGAACCATGCGGATGGGATAGCTATACGTGGCAGCCTGTCATTAACCTGTCACAGGACACCATTCGTTTTTTTTAGGGGCTGCCCGTCACCATTTCGTACGAGGTCGAGGCAAAGCTGAGACCATGCAATGGCACCGCAGAACATGCAATATGCTAACATGGCAAAGAGTAGTTCGCAAATGGTCGAAGGGAAATGGTGAGAAGCCTAATATTTTGAGCCATGGGGCAGAAAATTCTTACTACGCCTGGCGTTTGAGGACAGAGCACAACCAATTCTACCAGCGAAGCAGAAGTTGGGATCAGGGTGGGTGCACCAAAGCTCGACGTCATTCTCGCCATTCCAATCTGAGTCGAGGTTCCACAACTAGTCTCACAAGCTTCCCTCTCATTCTAGTGTCGGCCTCTTATCCTGCAGGTAGAGAGTGTTTGTTAGTAACCGTTTAGCTACCTGCCATCTTCTGGCATACTTACGCGATGTCGTCCCAGCTAATCACAGACGGCTGCGGATTGTCGGTACGACTAGGGCGGGAGTCTTATGAAAGGTTAATCGCTCGTCAGGAAGAGTGGAACGAGGCGTTGTTACTTTTCGGCCTAGTGTATGTATCCAAGCGCGGTTTGTAACGCACGCTGACTTCATCGACACGTTGAACCCTTGTTTTTTAGACAGGCACCTGCTATCTTCTTACCTCTGCGACATGTCGGCTTGGATGCAGGGAGGTTGCCAAGGACAAGATTGGGGATCCTCGCGTTCGCAAAGACATAAAGATTCTGGCTCCTACCGAGCATCGGCGTTTGAGGTCTGCTGTCCCGCGTGTCCCCAGTTGTGGCAGCGAACATCGGTCGCTGTTGGACTACCAGATGGTTTTAATACCCATGATATCAGAGTGAGTTTCCTGACATGTATCCGCAACGTGTGTCGATGACACCAGCTATCTTGCTAATCCAAACTTCCATGTACCGCAGAGTCGCTGTTGTTCGCTCGACGGCGATCAGTCTCATGGTGCTGATGAACCCGCAAGATTTGTTAGCACATCCCCGCGGAGAGTACCGTACGCGTGTGCTACACTTCGACCCTAAATCTGCAATCCCAACCCATCGCCACAGCGAGCATGCCAAGGAGGTGTTCGAGTAGGTATCACTCCTTAAGCAGATGTGCGGTTTGTGTGGACGCATGATATTGATTATTTGCGACCCCCTTGCCCTGCAGCTGGCTTATCCGACAACTAGATGTGGAATACAGCCGAGGTCGCAGGGTCTCTGGCAGCCACGCCGAAGCGGTGCAGAAAGATTTGAGGGCTCGCCTAAATGATCTGATTCTGGAGGAAGGCAGGGTAAGGAAGGAGCCTCTATTTTTATGATTTAAGCATTGTATGATATCAAGCTTGTACAAAGTAACGGGAGTGTCTGACAACCACCTTTTCACGCACATGTTGCAGATCAACAAGGTTCAGGGACAGAGGCAAGTGGGTTCCGGGCTGCATGTTACCCATGTGTTCAGCAAGTTGCTGGACAAATGGGGGGATGTCATGGCGATTCAGTCTGTAGAGCCGATGATGGTCTTAGGGAAGGGGAAAAACACCGCGAAAGAAATTCGGAGTATGCTGGAGTCGACCTGCAGGGCCTTCTTCGACCTGCAAGGAGTCCAGCTCCGTCCCGCCCCGGATGCAGTCATGACGACCCACTGTGCTCGAGTGGTAGAGAGCGCACCCGCACAGAACAGATCCGAAGCGGTAGAGGGACAGATAGACGTACCTGCCGCAAACCGGGACGCAAATCCAAGAGTTGGGTTTATTTCATATTCCCGCCGACCTGCACCGAGGGATGCAGTACTCAGTGGCCCGACATCAAGGGCAGCCACTGCTGACGAGCGTGATAGGTCTGGAGATAGGCAGCACAGGTTTGCTGATCGGGTTAGGATGCCGCAGGAACGCGAAGCACGGACGGAGACCGACTTGGCAAGCGTAGCAGATGAAGGCGAGGAGGGTGTAGAAGATCCACAGCTGCCAAGTCAGGTCGAACAAGCAGAGGAGCACTGGAGGAAGGCGGCTGATGAAAAGCGGATGGTCGAAGCAGAAGCCAAGAGTAGACGGGCTGAAGAGATGCAGCGGCGCAGTGATGGCGGCACCGATCCTACCGTCTCTTTCCCGGGAACTGGAGACATACGTGAAGCATGGGAGCGTGGGGCACGAGCCGCTGCAAGGGCACACGTGGGAGAGGCAGGAGAGGAGCTCGCCAGCAATGTGCGGCAGCATATCGAGGAAGATAGGGGATACGTGAAAGTTCGCTTGCCCAGCCTAAAGCGGAAGGCGGCAGAAGAGGCCCGGAGAGGGGACGTCGACGTGCCAGAGAATTCGGGAGAGGCGAAAAAGAAGGAGGAGAGCAACGCGGGTGCTAAGGCTCATAAGATGGTGGAGGTAGAGGCGCACCAGAATGCAGAGGATGCGGCCCATCGGTTCGTCGATGCAGAGGCGGTACTTACGGCAGAGGACGGGGCGCCAAAGGAAGCAGAGTCTGCGGCGCAGCAGAAGGTGGGTGCAGAGGCGGTCAAGGGTGCGGAGGCAGTCGCGCGTAAAGAAGCGGGTGCAGCAGCAGAGCTGACGTCGGAGGCAGTCGAGCTGATGGTTGTGGAGGCAGTGGCGCAGAAGGAATCAGAGGCAATGGCGAGCCAGAAGGATGAGGCAGCGGCGCAGCAGAATGATGAGGCAGACGCACATAAGGAATCAGCGGCAGCAGCGCAGCAGAAGGATGAGGGTGCGGCGCCCAGGATGGTTGAGGCAGAGGCGCAGAAGGAATCAGAGGCAGCGGCGCAGCAGAAGGAGGAGGGTGCGGCGCCGAAGATGGTTGAGGCAGAGGCGCAGAAGGCATCAGAGGCAGCGGCGCTGTAGAAGGAGGAGGGTGCGGCGCCGAAGATGGTTGAGGCAGAGGCGCAGAAGGCATCAGAGGCAGCGGCGCTGCAGAAGGAGGAGGGTGCGGCGCCGAAGATGGTTGAGGCAGAGGCGCAGAAGGCATCAGAGGCAGCGGCGCTGCAGAAGGAGGGTGCGGCGTCGAACATGGTTGAGGCAGAGGCGCAGAAGGAATCAGAGGCAGCGGCGAGGGAGAAGGATAAGGCAGCGGCGCTGCATATGGAGGAGGCAGACGCACATAAGGAAGGAGAGGCTCGGAATAAGGCAGAAGCAGCGGCGCGGCAGAAGGCGGAGGCAGAGGAGCAGAAACAGGCTGCGGAAGAGGCACTACAACTGGCTCGGGCTGAAGCGCGGAAGAAGGCTGTTGGAGAGGCGCAGAAGAAGGCGGAGGGTGTTGCGCAGAAGATGTCAGAGGCCGAGGAGCAGAAGCAGGCTGAGGCAGACGCACGAAGGAAGCCAGATGGAGAGGACGGTTCAGATGGGAATAAAATGGTACAGACAGAGGGACGGGAGACGGCGGGTGCTGAGGGGCACATCATCGCAGAGGAAGAGGGGCAGCATAACGAGGAGGCAGCGTCGTAGGTATTCGCATACCGAGAGACGCAGAGCATGGCAGAGACAGGGCGTCAAAATACTATGGAGGAGGTTCGTGTCGTCCCGGAGGCTGGAGTGGGGCACTACGAGGGAGATGCGCTGGAAATAGAAGAGGAGCAGAATGAGGAGGATACGGTACATCCGGCAGTACGGATATTTTTGGGAGGAAGTCCGACGCGGGGACCAGGAACCGGGGTAGAGGGGCCATGGAGGGTGGCAGACGATGGGGCGCCTAGGGATACAGTGGGTCTCAACAGGCAGAGGCGGCCCACCCTTCACCAGAGAGCAGTGGAGAGGAATCTCGGCCAAGGCGGGGTGGCAGAAGCGTTTCGGCAGGTAGAGTGGGTCGAGGCAGAGACGGCAATACGGCGGATGCTGCATCGGACGAGTACAGTCCTGGTCGAACAAGATGACAGGTTCGTCGAGGCCGAAAGCTGGGACATAAGCCCGGCAGAGGTAACGCGTCGTCTGACGCTCTTAGCCCGAATGGTGACGCAGACGTTCTGCAACTTGGCGGCCCGCAACAGCAGCATCAGTCGCGACGTGGCCGATCTGACCGTCCATTACTGTCGCGACGCCCTGGCCAACCTGGAAGAAGTCCGCCATGGAAACGAGGAACGGCGGCGCCAAGCTGAAACGGCGGCCAGGTTTCGCGAGGAGGTGGACACGAGACTCTCCAACTTGCAGGAGAGTATCGTAAGGGTGAGTGATCAGGTTCGCCAGTCGGGAGGGGGGATGGCGGAGGGCACGTTAAAGGGGGTGGAAGAGAGGTTGAGAGAGGTTCTGAGAGAAGAGTCTGAGCGGCGGAACAGGGATAGACTGCAGGACGAGGAGCGGAGGCAGAAGGCCATGAGGAAGGAAGCAGACGCCGCAGAGAGACGGAAGAAGGAACAACAGCAGGAGGAAGCGCGTCGGCAGAAGGAGATGAGAGAGGGAATGAAGGAGATGAAGGAGGCGATGATGAAGGAGATGAAGGCAGAAATGAAGGAGATGAAGGATGGGATGGTAAACCAGATTGTGGGGAGGTTGAGCGCGGTTTTGCGAGAAGAATCCGAGCGGCAGAAGAAGGAGAGGCAAGTGGACGCGGAGCGGCGACAACAGCAGGACGCGAAGAGGAAACAAGTGGCGGACGACGAGGAGAGACGCAAGAGGATACAACTGGACGAGCAATGGCGGAAGGAGGAGGAGGTGAAGAGGAAGGACGTAGAGGCCACAGAGCGGCGGAGGAAGAACAAACATCAGGAGGAAGAGCGACGGCAGAAGGAGGTGGAGGCGGGAATGAAGGAAGTGATGGAGGCTGTGAAGGAGATGAAGACGGGGATTACGGGGTGGAAGGAGGGGATGATAAGTGAGGTGGAAAAGCGGCTGTCAATGGTTCTGAGATTGGACGCAGAGCGGCGGCAAAAGGAGGAGCAGGGTAGGAAGGCAACGGAGGGAGATCGGCGACAGAAGGAGGATGCGCAGAGGAAGGAGGCAGAGGAAGCAGAGCGGGTGGAGAGGGAGAAACAGCAAGAGATGGCGCTCCTGCAGAAGGAGGAGGCGCAGCGGAAAGATGCAGAGGAGGCCGAGAGGCAGGAGAGGGAGAAACAGCAGGAGATGGCGCGCCTGCAGGAGGAGGACAGGCAGAGGAAGGAGGCAGAGGAGGTAGAGCGGCGTCAGAGGGCGAAACAGCAGGAATTGGACCGCCTGCAGAAGGAGGAGACGCAGAAGAAGGAGGCAGAGGAGGCCGAGCGGCAGCAGCGGGCGAAACAGCAGGAGATGGAGCGCCTGCAGAAGGAGGAAGCGCAGAAGAAGGAGGTAGAGGAGGCCGAGCGGCAGCAGAGGGCGAAACAGCAGGAGATGGAGCGCCTGCAGAAGGAGGAAGCGCAGAAGAAGGAGGCAGAGGAGGCCGAGCGGCAGCAGAGAGCGAAACAGCAGGAGATGGAGCGCCTGCAGAAGGAGGAAGCGCAGAAGAAGGAGGCAGAGGAGGCCGAGCGGCAGCAGAGGGCGAAACAGCAGGAGATGGAGCGCCTGCAGAAGGAGGAAGCGCAGAAGGAGGCAGAGGAGGCGGAGCGGCAGCAGAGGGCGAAACAGCAGGAGATGGAGCGCCTGCAGAAGGAGGAGCAGAAGAAGGAGGCAGAGGAGGCGGAGCGGCAGCAGAGGGCGAAACAGCAGGAGATGGAGCGCCTGCAGAAGGCGGAGCAATGCCGAGCAGAGAAGAGGGCCAGACTTGCATCCTACGCGGAACAGCAGCGGCAACTGGAGGCAAAGGCAAAGGCGATGGCTGAAGAGACGGAACGATTGGCAAGGGAGATGGAAGAGGAGGATTTGACCATGCAGGGGGAGGGGACCTGGACAGGAGTCGAGGAGGATTTGACCATGCAGGGGGAGGGGACCTGGACAGGAGTCGAGGAGGAAATAGTTGAGGGGTTGGGGACTTTGCTGTTGATTGAGAGCGGGGAGGCGAATGTAGCAGAGGGCGTGCCTAGTGTTCCTGTACGGAATGTAGAGGTGTCCAGGAGGCGGCCTAGACAAGAGGACAGGGAGCCGGAGGGTCATGCGGCTAAGAGACGGCGTGCAGCTGGAATACAGGAGTTGATACCCATAATCCAAGGGGAAAAGAAAGGGATGAAGATCGACAAGTGTGACAACAGGAAAAACGCCGTAGTGGACGACAAGGGTAAGACTTTGGGTGTCTGCCTGCCGTTCAGGGGAAGCGGGTTCTCTCAACGGGGCGAGGGAGCTTTGCAGAAGTGGACGTCTGAGCAGACCGTCGGCGGCCGGAAGCGGAACCTCGGCTCTCACAAAACGGTGTGGGAGAGGGCATACACGGTCGCAGTCTGCTGGAAGTTCTACTTCCCGGATATTGACATGCAGGCATACGGCATGAATCCAAACCGTATAAACAAGTGGCGGGAAGACCTCGACTTCACAACGTGGCTTCCAACAGGGGTGTGGAGCGTCATCAACGAACTCCACCTGGACAAACCGGACGGGTGAGTGTTTATGTGATGTACAGTTGCAACTTCTAAACACCCGCGAAGTTCGATGGTTCTGATCTTGCGACACTGGTGTCTTGTGCAGATTCTCACTCGTTCAAACCAACACGGCTCTTCGGTAGCAGCAGGGGGATGGCTTTCAGGTAGCTGCCTGCGCTGGTGTCGGAATAACTGCGTGGCAGAAGATGGTGGGAGGCGTGGAGGGTGAAAACGGCTATTCGACGAAAGAACACGCAATCGGACTTGCCGCCACGTTGTCTGTAATGTGGGCCGCATCCACGAATGTGGACCAGACCCAGTGGGAGACGGGCGCAACAACAGCTGCACGTGGAACTTCTACGGCCATAGCATCTTCTGCTGCCAGATCGTCCACTGCTGCCACCGCCTCGTCGGATGCCTCGTCATCTTCTGCGGCCGATGTGCCCTCTGCCGTCCACAATGCCCTTGCGACGCTTGCAGCCTCGGTTGCTTGCGTTGCGGTTGAGGCGATGAGGTCGGTAAAGGATCAGGAGCATGACAAGGAAGCGTGGATTCTGCCCCTGTCGGATGCGCTGCTGAAAGCGCTTCCGGCAGAGTCGCGAGCGGCCGAGGATGCGAAGCGGATGACGAGGGTGGTGGCAAAGGTGGTGACCTCTTGGTGCCTATGCAGCATGGCATCAAGAGGCCTTCGCCAGCACCAGGGCGTCTGGCTCGGAGTCCTGCAGAAGAAGTTGGGCGGCCGGGATACCACAACAGGGGCGGATAAGGAGAAGAAAACCAAGAAATCGTCCGCGAAGGGGAACGCGACGAAGGATGCGTCGACGGAGGAGAACACCGGCACTGGCGGCCAGGATTGATAGAGGCAGACGGGTTCTTTGGAGGTCTTGTTAGTACCGCAGTAGAAATAGATTTTCCTTTTCGTTTTTTTTTATTTAACCGTGTATAAATATAGGTGTTGTTGTATACAATACAATGAGAGATGTATTTTTGCTATGCAAACCTTCACTACACTAGCAAAATTTGTAGGGCGCGTATGGAGCTAGCAATGCAGCCGATAGAACTCGCCATCAAAGGGAGGGCCAGGCGAATAAAAAAATTGACGACAGGACGGCCTTCTACGACACTTAATCTACGTTTAATACTCGGCTTCTACGAAGAGGTAGAAGTATGGGGCTAAACAATCGCATAACATCTTGTCTAAGGGAGCACCTTGTTAAGAACGTATACGGTATTCATATGCACAGACCTTTCTGCTATGGAGATTGAATTCCTCGACGCCGAATTCTGGAGGCAAATTGGAAACGCCACTATACCGCAGAAAAACCGACGTGTTGATAATATCTACCGTCATGGATAGGATCTTCGTTGCTACTAGTAAAATATGACACTGCTTTGCCCAGAAACATATGCTGAGACTGAATAAATCCACGCAAAAGTCTACCGAGTGACCTAAGAACACACATCTACAATCGTGAGAGTGAATTCATCGACGCCGCTCTGTAGAATAAAATCGTATACGATACGACATGACTCCGCAGAATTTCGCCCGGTGTATACCATCGATGTGTGCTTCATTGCATACACCAGAAAAACATTCTACGAAAAACAGCGCGCCCAGGGAATAAGGTGGCATACAAGCCCCAAATCGGGCTTCTACAGAGACAGACAAGTGCCTGTAGTGCATATTCGGTACAACCGGAATAAAGTACCCAAATAACTAAACCGCCCCACCCTTAAGGTACATGCCCCCTCATTTCTGCTCCTTGCGTTTCGACGCTTCGCCCTTCGCCTTTTCCCGTTCCGCCTTCTTCGCCGCAGCGGTTCGTTGTTTCTCCTCTTCCGCCTTCTTCTGCGCCATGTGTTCCTTGTGGATCTCCTCCCACTCATCATCACCAAACAGCGAAGTTGCCCACTCCTGGTCGCGAAGGCCCTTCTTGACTAACAGCCAGCCCACTCTGCGTTGCGCCAGGTCGTTGACGGTCCTCTTTTCCGTCGACGAACCGGTCTTCTGTTTCTTGATGGTCGGAGTCTCATGCAGCACAGCCAGGCCGTTGGTGAATTCCGTGAAGTTGCACACGAGTAAAACCTCGTCCAGCAGCTTAATGGCCGTTGCGGTCGCCGCCTCGGAGCTGTCTTTTCTTAGCGTCTCCACGGAAACCATGACACGATGCACGCGACGCATCTTTCGCTCGCATGCACCCACAGCCATCCCGGGCGTACCTTTGACAGCGAACCGGGAATATGCGGTGATGAAGCTGGAATTCTTGTCCTTCTTCTTATACCGGTCGAACTCTGCAAAGACTTCGCGCAGTGACCGGCCGCCCATGATGAGGCTTGGCTGCACCCACACTTTCCAGGCAGCAGCAACAGTGGTGGCTTCGCGCCAAGACACAACGACCACGACGAAGAATTCTTGGACGGCAACTGGTGCTTTGGATGCGTCCGTTGCCTGGTTTCCTCCTGTTCCCGCGCTCTTCGACGATCCGTCGATCTCTGCAGAGGTGTTTGCCGCGTCATCCTTGGCCGCAACAAACCTCTTGTATGCTTCGAACTCTGCAATGACCCGAGCCTTGTCCTCTCGCTCAGCGGCGAGTTTCTCCCTCAGTTCAGCGTTCTCCATCGCCAACTGCATTTCACGTCCTCTCAAAATCCCAAGCTCCTCCCTGAGCATATTGGCGGTGAGGTGCATCTTATGCAGCTTCTCTTCTGCGGTCGTGCGAAAGATAGCGTCCTGCAGAAACCAGCACGGCAGAACTCAGCATGAACGAATAACTCCTCTCTACCACTAATAGCAGGCACTTACTGCTTTGGCGGTGGTTTGGCCGGTTGCCCGAAGCTTCTCTCCCTGGAAGTGAGAGATAGCGACCAGGTACGCCCACTTTTGGAACAGCGGGTGGTTGCACAAGGGGCTCATCTGCACATATGGATGCCTCTCGCAATTGCACCGTGGGTTTCTCACGCCGTGCTGATGGCAGAACGCCCACATCATAGCCAGATCCTGTGCAACAACGAGGCGTCCGATGCTGGCGAGGGTGTCTAGGAACCTCGCCCCCGCATAGTGCCTCTTCAGCGGATCGGTCTGCGCAGCGTTCCATTCTTCGACCTGACGGGACGAGTATGCAGGAGAAATGGGACGGTTCATCATTGCGTATCAAAATTAAGCTACGAACGCGAAGACTGTACACTAGCACGTACCTTCTTCCAACCCTCTTCGACCCAGGGGAAAATGTGAAGCCTCAAGAGATCCAAGAGCTGCAACCACTCATCCTTCTCCTTAACCTTATGCCGCGGAAGCTTGGCGCGGGCTCTGCCGATGTAGTAGTCTCCACGATCCCCGCTGAATCCTGCCAGCAGCCAAACCGGCTTGAACGGTATGCCGAACACATAACACCTCCGCAACTCCCCCTGCGCCCATCCGCCCAGAGTGCCGATATCGTTGTCGGAGCAACCGTCGTCATGGAGTTGTTGCGCTCCGGATCTGCGGAATGCATGTGTTACCTTGCTCAGAATCCATCTCGCCTTCGTCATGGCCCACTTAATCCAGGTGTTATGCGTTTTGTAGTGCATCTCGTCTTGCTTCTGCTCTCCCTGGTCGCCCTTCTTCAAAGAAAAGAAGAGGTGCGCTTTCGTCCACAAGATCGGTTCAGAAAAGTCGAGAGGCTCGACGATACCGGGGCCGTAGCGCAGAGGAACGAGGTCGTAGATGAAATAAAGCCACAGGAACACATGGCCCATTCCGCAGAGCCGCCAGTCCCTATGCCTTGCAAGAAACTGATGATTCAGCTTGTTGTTGGGGTTGGTCTTCGACTTCCTGGAAACAACGACGAGTACGAAAACGTCCAGATAGTCGTCGAGGTGTGATGTGCTCCGCGTCATGCGGAAAAAGAGGTTCCCAAGTCGAATCTTTCGAATGCTGCACCCTCTTCCGAGAAATTGGTGTCCGAGGTGCATCATAACCGGGACTTGCAGAGCCTTCCAGAGAGGAAGCGAGATTTGTGACGGAGGCGTCCGCCACCAGATCTCTAGGAGCTCTTTTCGCAGAACAGTAAGATGCAGCGTCCTATACTGGCTTCCCGTATAGCAATCACCAATTGATCCACGGGTTTGATCTCGACCATCCCTGCATAGAATAGCACAGTAATTAGGTAAACCATGTAGAACAACATTCACACAAACAGAAAGCACCCGTATACGTTACTCACGCGACTTGCTCGTCGTTCAGATCCTTCAGCTTCACTTTGAAAAAATCCCGAGCATCCTTGATCCAGTCCTTGGTCAGTGTGATGGAGAAGCCGTAGAGCCTCGCCTCGCACCTGGCAAGGCATCCCATTGCGTTCATCTTTGCCTTGATCATTGAAGCCGTGCACCCCTTTGCCTCCTTCCCCACATATTTCTCGACGTCTGGCCGCATTTTTCCACGCAAAAACTTTGCCTGCTCGTCAGTTTCGCAGAAGAGATACTCGATGTATCGGCCGAGCCTCCATTCCGTGATTCGCGGCCCGTGCAGATGAATCTGCCACTCGTCAGAGCTGCACGACCACCCATCGTTTCCCAAGTTATTGCTCATATGAAACCCAACCTCGTCATGCAGAGAGGGAGCAAGGCTATCTGCCACAGGGACATCTACCATAGTTGCCATGAAGATGATCACCCACCACTTGAAGTGTAGAAAGTGGAAACAATAGTGCCTTCTCGTCCCGGCCTCTATCAGTCGAAGCGGGATTGTTGAACGCCGGATCCTGCTCTCCTTTTCCGCAACGTCGGTCTGCCGCTGCGCATTTCCGGGGGCCACAGCCTGCTCGACATGGCTCGCAGAATCGGGAGGTCGTCGTCGTCCCGGCGATGATTCTCCCTCCTCTTCTGCGTCAGAGTGATCTCCATCCTCCTCGTACCGTTCTTCGGGTGCACCGGGTCGTGGGCGCACTCCATCGCCTCCCGGCCCTTCACTCTCTTCTTCACTCCCCTGGACTTGAATCCGGACGGATGGTTCGTAGATACCACCCTGAAACAAATCCTCCTCGGTCGCCTCAAACTCGCTATCGTTCTCGCGATCCTGTGCGTAGTCTGGGTCAATATTTTCAACGTCCTCTAGGTCTATTTCTCCATCCTCTGCGCCCTGGGCTGCCATGGGGCGAGAGTGGACCGAGCTGTCGGCCATTCACAGATTCCTAATTTATTAGCTAGCAACCGAGACTAGACGAAAGAATCGGATGGTGACAGCCGCGGTAGGTGGTAACGATTCGCAAGTGTGCAGATAACATAGGCAGAATGCTTAGTGGGCTAAGCGCAGAAGGCGTAAGAGAGTCTGTGCTTCAGACGTCTACACATTGGTCTTCGAACACCGCCTACAACTTGCGTTTACATATATATCTGCGCCTACAACTTGCGTATACAGGGTCGCTTGACTGTCCCGTACCGTATAGCTCTGTCACACTTTGTTTTACCGCTTTAATTCTCTACAACGAAACAACGAAAATAAGTTCCTACCATTATACGGATATAATCATCTACGGAACCCTTATGCTTGTACATAACTTTCGTGGGTTCGACGATATTATGGATTGGGAGCGAATACCTTTACCGATAAAAGAAGCCTAACGTCGAAGATGTCCGCCTACAAGAGCGGACGACCTATGACAATTGTTCCGGGCAAATACAAACAGTTCTACCGACAAAATATTATACCACACACATCTGCGCCTACATATGCGACCTAACAAGTACGACTGCAGCTATCCTAACTGGGCTGACCCAAAAAAAAAACCCACTCTATACGACCTACGTCACTATGTCGAGGATCGCCAATGTTATGCCAGTGGGCCAAGCAGGCTTAAAAGATTACGCTGGTGGACTAACAGGTGCTGGAAGAAAAGATCTCAAAGAGCTTGCGGAACATGAAATGCAAATGAAAAGGAGCAAATGAGCACGAAAACATCTATTCATACCCATCCACCACACACAGAAGCCCGTGTCCAGATCTGGTCATCCAACCCTGGGCTGGATGATTCTCCCGCCAAAAAACAACAGTTGGGATATGGTCCTACTAGACGCTGATTGGCTCTTGCAGCCTTGGGACTCTGACAACAACTGTTGCCATGGCCACGTGTGCAGAACACCTACAGTTGGTAAACAATGACTATAAAACACAATGAGCAAACGTAGGATGCTACACTTGAACTCATGTTATTTATAAAACACATAACATCAAAGGTATAAAGGAACACACGTGCTGCAGCTTTAAGGTGGCAGCAAAAAAAAAACCGAGTTAAAGCATATAACGACGCAAGGAAGACCAGTTGGTCGCAACCGGCCATGCGACTGGCGGTCGTCACTTGTCGGCCAAAGAGTTACGATGGCGAAACATGTCATTCGCGACAAACATCACTGGCACAAAGGGTCAGGGCAGGTTGGTTGGAACACATTTTTCACGGTCAGGTGGGCGCGGAATTGTGGGCGGCTGGCCGTGTCGTATGCGGCGGAGCCTTGCGCCCAAGCCCTTCGGAATCCGGAACACACGGATCCAAGGCCTCGGATCATGGGGCAAACGCACTCGGAACTCCGCCACAACGTGGTAAGAGTCCCGATCATTTATACGCTACTGCATTCAACAGTAGCTCACCAACGAGTTATCCACCTCCCATCAGCAAAACTCACATATCTCGATTCAACACTAACCGCAACGTTTCCCTAGGCATTAATCCATTGTCACTATGGCTAGACACGCGCTTCTGGCGCTCTCGTTAGCGCTGCTGGTCGTCGCCGCGCGCGCCGGCAGTCCCATCACGAGCAGCACCGCGAACGAGAAGCCCGACCAGAGCAGCAAGAAGGACGACGGGCTGATGACGGAAATCCCCGCGGACATCGCGAAGCAGGCAGCGGTGGGCAACGCGGCGGGAGTGACGTACGTAGACACGGCACAGGACACATTCTTCATGGCGGACGTGAAGAAGGCCGGGTGGAACGCGCAGAAGTGCCCGCCCGGTTTGAACAAGGAGCTCGCGGGCGCGTGCACGCCTAAGAACTGCTCCAAGGGCGGCATCGCCGCCAAGTGGAAAACCGCTTACCTGCAGAAGAACAAGCTCGGTTACGAGCTGTATGTGCCGGGTAACCCGCTCACGCTGCTCAAGGCGAACCCCGCGTCGTGCTGCAACACGTGCGCCGCGACGCCGGCGTGCACGTACTGGCAGTACATTCCCGACATCACGATCGACGGCAAGAAGGGCAAGGGCGCGTGCTACCTGATTCACGACCAGATCGACTTCACGTGTGGAGAGATGACCGCGCAGTACAACACGGAGACGAAGCCCGTGCCGCTGCAGGTGCGCATCGGCGGCGAGTGCAACCCTAGCGCCAAGATTCTCAACGACCCGCATCTGGTGGGCGCGCACGGCACGCACTTCGACTTCAACGGCCGCCCCGACAAGGCGTTCTGCTTGCTGACGGACCGCGACCTGCACGTGAACATGCTGCTGCGCGGGTACTACGACGCGCGCACCGACAACGCGGCGCTCGTGGTGGACGGCAAGGCCGTGCACACGTGGATCAAGGAGCTCGGCATCGTGTGGACCGCGGCCGGCGCGGACCACAAAATCCGCCTTGCGGCGCGCAGCGGCAAGCAGCAGGAGCGCGGCGAGGGGTTCATGAAGTCGATCGAGATCGACGGCGAGGAGATTCCGCGCATGAAGGTGGGCGACACGGTGACGAGCGCGGGCGGGCTGACGGTCCAGTTCCGCGCGGAGGAGAAGGAGGGACCATTCGACGTGGACTACTATCTGCTCACCATCGACGGACTCGTCTCCCTCGACCTCCGCCTTCGCGTCGCACACCCCAAGCTGCAGACACCGACCGAGGCCGAGGCGCATATCAACGTGGGCATTGCGGAGCTCGAGCACACGGACGAGATTCACGGCGTGCTCGGACAAACGTACCGCGCGGATCACTCGCAGCGCGCCGAGGATTTCCAGCGCCTGATCGCAAGCCTGCACCGCCCGATCTCCGCAGATGGCGCGGAAGGCAAGGGGTTCCTGGATGGCACGCCGCGGTCGTACGAGGCGAGCGACGTGCTCGCGGTGGACTGCGCATACACCGCATATGGCCGCGCCAGGCAAGCAATGCCGGTACAGCATCTTCCTAAGAACTGATTCGATTTGGAGACACTCAATTTGTATTGTACAGTTGGCTGAAAGTAGGCTGAATGCTAGATTAGATTGCCTCTTGTTGATTTTTTGAATTCTTTTATACCTTGTGCAAGGTTAAACCTTATATTCAGAATCATCCCGAGATAACGTTACGCTCTCCATACACCCTTGTGTCTATATGAAATCTCACCTTCAAAGTCAAAACTATTTTCATATCATGCGGTAGTCATGATTTGTTGTGGCATCTGCAGTGAATTGCATCATGTAGGGTATAACACATTCCTGATTGTAACCCCACTATTGTTAGTGAAACTCATTTCGCTGTTGGCCCTGTTCGATAGCACTTTGGGCCCCCACGACGCAACCATTTGGTTTGGCTCTGTCGCCCAAATGGTTCAGCGTCGCGACAAAATGCAAGTGGTAGGACAGCACCGACAGTGTAATCTTTTTGGCCGACCCGAAGACGGCCGAGGTGGTCGAAAAGCTCCACCTCAACGGCCCTTTGAAGCGGACTGTTTCCAGCCGCGGGGTCTGCCCGGGGGTTCGACGGTCTGCGTAAAAACAAAAGCCCCACCCAAATGTTTGTGCTGAAAATGTATAGAGTATTCCAGATCGGTTCCAGCATTAGTTAAGTGTGTCGAAAGGATTTGTGGTGCGACTGGTTTATACCTTTTGTTTGGCGCGACTATCCCTAAATAGTGTTGGGCTGAACGCCCTAGGATCTTTAGCGGAAGCGTTTGAATAAGGTCCTTGAACCACCTTGCGCTAGTATGTGAGGTCAAAGTAAGTTAATTAAAGCAAAGAGATATAGGAATATATATATAAGTACAGAGAATATGAAGAGACATAATTGTAGCTGTTTTACTGTTGCGGTTCGATACAGTGCGACTCGGGCAACTGCTCAATGTCCAGTCAGTTGTGTGTCCTTGCTGTCGCGCTGCGTCAGGTCAAAGGTCGCTGACCTTTTGACTTTCTCGTAACCTCCAGCGGTTACGTTAATCTCCGAGGGTTGACTCGCGGTGCTTCGATTTGAGCTACTTCGCTTGTGTCTTGAGTTTCGACACGACAGAGGCGCTTGAGACTATTTGTTCCCAACACTCCCCTTCGCTTCTGGAGTGTCGCTGATGGTGACGTGGCTTTGTCCAGTCAGCAGCATGCAGTACTCGAACTTCTGTTTTCCGAGCTTCTTGGTCAAGTAGTCAGCTGCCATCTCACACGTGGGACAGTAGGATAGTTGAGTTTCCCTTTCTCGATCTCGTCTTTCACTAAGAAATATCGCAGGGCGATATGCTTCGTTCTGTTCGCGAATCCGCTTTTGTTGGCGATGCGAATCGCCGATTGGTTGTCGCAGAACAGATTGAAGTTGGGTAACTCGGCTAACTTTGCTTCTTCCAGCAGCTCGCGAAGATAGAGTCCTTCCTTGGTGGCTGAGCAGAGTGCGATATATTATGCTTCAGCTGAGGAGAGAGCGATTAGTTCCTGCTTGCTCGATTTCCAGGAGATAGGTCCGATAGGTTCGAGGCGGTAGATGTAGCCAGTGCGGGAGCGTCTGTTGTCTGAATCGCCGGCGTGATCGGCATCGACGTAGCCGATTAGTTTCGTCGGTGTAGTTTTACTCTTGTAGTATGTCACGCCGATCGTCGAGGTGTGTCATGAGAAGATATGAACGAGAATGAAATGACTATGAACGAAGTGAGTACAAATAGGAAACCCTAATTTGGGTTGTACCCCCTATGGGATACCCCACTATAGCCTACAGAAACAAGTAAGCTATATGTTCTGACACACCCCCATAGGCAAAGTGGGGGAGAACAAGGGGTCACAAGACCAGTCAAGCAAAGCAAAGCAAAGCTCAGGGTGGATCACAAAGTCACCACGCATTCCGAGCACAAGTTCAAAGGCCAGAAGGCCAGTTCACATGCAAGATCATATATAGAGATATACAAGAGTCAAGTAAGCAAGAGCAAGAGTATATATAGGCGAAGGTACAAGCAAAGTCAAGAGGAGAGCAAGTGAGGCA